TGGCCGGGCCGGGCCGGGTCGTGCTTGGGCCGAGCCAAAAAAAATGGTCCTCGTGCCGGGCCAACGGACTCGGGCTACATGGCCATATATACATTGCCCTGTTTGTTTGGGCTTGTTTGGCTGATAAACCATGACTGAAAGTACTGTTGGCTGATTTGGTGTGAGAAAAAAATACTATTCGTTGGCTGAAAAAGTACGGCTTATAAAGCAAACAAGCCCAAACGAACAGGGCGTATCAAGTTGATGGCATAGCAAGCAGCCCTACAATAAAATAAAATTAATTAACTAAATATATTCCCGTACGCGCAAACAAAGTCAACAAGTTATCTATTATGGGCGTGTTCGACTCGCTTCTCTCAGCTTGTTTCAGCTTATTCTTTCTCACAGAACACTATTGAATTAGCCAAAACCAGCTGAAACAAACTAGTACACAGTAAAAAAAAATGTATCAGCCGAACGGGTTGTGTATTTATTATACTTATATATATACCACCTAAAAAGTGGGAGAGGTTTCGTCCACAAGTATTTCGTATGTGTGCCTGCAATCGTCCTGTTCGTTTGGGCTTGTTTGGCTTATAAGTCGTAGTTTTCAGCCAACAAATAATATTTTTCTCTCACATTAAATTAGCCAACAGTACTTTCAGCTATACCTTATCAGCCAAACCAGCACAAATGGATAGAGCGAATAGCCAAGGCCACAGGTACGCACGGATCCGGATCGGTCTAAAAAAAACCTCCTCCACCATCTCTATCTCTTCTCTGCCCCTAAAAAGCACGCAAGGGAATCCTGCACATCCTAGACCAGCAGACCCAAGCGAGAAAAAAAAACATACTACGGCAGGAAGACTGGAACGAATACGATCGGACTCTTGGAAAAAAACAGAAGCAACAAAAATAATAAATCTCTGGTAAAAACAACCCGGAACGAATACGATCGGACTCTAGGGAAAAAATCGAAAGAAAAAAATCTCCAGTAAAAAAAAAAATACCATCAGACTCTAGAAAAAAACGAAAGGAAAAAAAATCTAAACAGATCAATAAATACTTTTTTTGGCTATCTCTACACCTAAAAAGCACGCGAGGGAATCGTCCACATCCAAGATCGGTAGACCAACCCAAGCGAGAGAAAAAAAAATACTACGATGGGAAGACCGCAAGCACCATCAGACTCTAGAAAAAACGGAAGGAAAAAAATAAATAAAAAAACCTCTTCGGCTATCTCTACACCTAAAAAGCACGCAAGGGAAAACGTCATGTATCGGTTCATGTTACTCTAAGATGGAAAAAAAAAACTTCATCAAAAGGTCGTGGACGAATAGATTAATTTTATTAAATTTTCATTAACTTCTTGTTGGTCCCAAACCTATAATATCAACGTCTTGTTAGTCCCGTACCTATGACATTTGTAGCATTTTAGATTCGTACCTAATTTGATAGATTAACCTAATTGCTACACGGAATAACAAAAATAAATCCTCAAAAACTTATCGTTTAAATGGTGTAACCGGTTGCAAAAAGCCCTTGTTTCTCTCAAATTAAACCTGATTGTTTACCAGGTGCAACGCACGTATATTACCCTAGTTATCTTTAAAATTAATGTTACTAACGACAAGCATGCACAGCCGTCTCTGCCAGATTCTTGCTCCATTCTTTGTTGTCAACATGTACTCACTCCGTTTTAAATTATAAGTCGCTTTGACTTTTTTGTATATCAATTTTGCTATATATTTACATATAATAATATGTCTAGATACATAGCAAAATAGATGAATCAAAAAAGTCAAAATGACTTATAATTTGAAACGGAGAAAGTAGTTCTTTGCCAGGGCATCGATGGACATAGCAGACCTGAAAAGCTGTTATAGCTGCTGTGAGCTCCGCTTTTAGTCCATGAATTTATAACTTAGTTATAGATTTTATTTAGGTTTATGCTTCTTGTATAAGCTCTTTAACTAAGCTATACATAATCCAATGAGTATGAAATTTTTACTACAATTCAATCATACAATAATTAGTTCATTATAAAAATTTCATCACAATTAGAACATAGAAACAACAACTATGAATTATTCCAATTAATTACAGAAAAGCATAGATCTAAAGCCATAGCAAAACTTTATATTAAAACATACCATATTATATGTCCATTGTATAGATCTACTCATGTGGAGTCCAACAAAGTTGAATTTTCTATTTTATGATTTTTCTGTGATTTACTATGATTTTTCAAAGATTCAGCCAAAATAAATAAAAAAGAAAAAGACAAAATCGACTTTAAAACTGCTTATAACAGGGTCAGTGAGGTAAGATGAACGATTTTAAAAGTTGAGGGAGATGTTTTGTCCGGTTTTGGAGTTTAGGGAAGAAAAGCGGACTTTCGCGAAAGTTGAGGGAGGTAGCGTGGATTTTTTCCGACAAAAACTCTATTCAATCTCACACTTTGAACGCATTTCCTTTCCTCAATCTTGAATAGTTAATTAAGGAAGGTTTGTGTTTCTTAAAAAATATCCTTTGCTCAAAAAAAAAACTTCGAACGCATCTCCCCTTAAACTGTTAATTAATTTTGGAGAAAGGTCCATTATACCTCCTTGATTGAACTGTAGTGGTCTAATTTTTCTTCTCAAACTCTAAAAACAAACACCTTATCTCCTGGACTCTTAAAACTGTTCATGGTTTAAAGTGGTTCCAAAGGTGGTTTAGTACCTTTTTTAGTTAATTTTTTATAAATATTTGGTAAGATTTTAAATCACATAAAATGTCTCTAAGTTTTTTAAGTTCCAAAGAAAAGTCCTAGAGATAAATTGGGATACGACAAATCCAAATAAATATTTAAAGCGTATGAGAGTGTCTTTCGAAGCTTTAAAAATTAGATTTAGCTCGAGGAAAATAAGAAAATTATCTAGAATATGCTAGAAAGTGTACAAAACGTTATAATTGATGTATAAACATGTTTTAAAAAATTACATGGGAAAGAATGAGGCTAACTAGCATGAATACTACTTTAATGCTGAATGCATTCATGCTATGCATTTTTGCTAGTTTCGTTGCTTTTGTTGCAAAAGGTTTTCAAAACGATTTTAGACATCAACTAGAATGTTTTGGATATTTTGTTTCTATTTTTCTGTAATTAAATCTATTTTCAAGTGTTTAGAAATATATTCCATATGGTCTAAATATTTTATTTGGATTTTTTGTATCCCAATATATATCTATATTTTTTCTCGGAAATTTTAGAAGTTCATGGACAATTTCTATGGTTAAAAATCCTTATCAGGTTTTTTTAAAAAACTAATAAAAGGACAAAATCGCCTTCAAAACAAGGCGGAGATATAATTTAAATACTTTTTAGAGTTTAGAGAAGTAAGTGTCTGGTTTTCAAGTTGGAGGAGAAAAATAGGATTACGAAGATATTTCATGGAAGTGTAATAGACTTTTTTGATTAATTTTAATCCGACAGTTTGGTTTCTTGGTTACACGGAGCGCGAAAGCAAATGATCGTAAACTAACACCATTATTGCATGCTTTTTAAGTAAAACTTTGTGTCATCTATATCATCTTATCTGATACACTCATGCTCTGATGCGGGGGGCTAGGATCTCAAAGCAGTACTAATTCTTCCGACATATATAGGGGTAGAGCTCCCCACGAGGGTTGTGGATGGAGAGCCATTCCCCAATGAGAAATTTCTCTGCGTGCCACTGTATGGGGAAGAAATAATTGTTCGGTTGCACAACACATAGTAGCAAGCACATTCATGCTTACATGAAATGCTGAGAAACAATAAGTATGACCTCGCCATAAGCTAGAAGGGATATATATTGTTATGCCTCTGAAAAACAACCCTGGTTTGAGGCTCTGTAACTATGTAGAGCTTAAGATCATGTGACTCAGATACATATAGCCTACAGGTGGTAGCTCTATCAAGAGTTCCTTACAAATTCTACATTACTACATAGCGGTATTCTCTCTAAGAAGCGATTTGAGCATAAGTAGCCATACGATAAATAAAAATATTCACGAGCATAAGTAGCCATATGACAAATAATATATTTGTGAGTATAAATATACGCCATGTTCGCTTGGCTTATAAGCCGTACTTTTTCAGCCAACGAATAATATTTTTCTCTCACAACAAATTAATCAACATTATTTTCAGCCATGACTTATCAGCCAAACGAACAGGACAATAAATAGCCATATAGCCATAGTACCACCCCAACTATCATAATTAAAACATCAAAATATGAGTGGCACAAATAAAACAACATTATGTGTGTTAAATTGCTGGGAACCGAGTGACAAAAAAGTGGATCTTTTCCTTATATATATTCTCCTTTGATGTTTGGGATAACATTTTTATCAAGCTTTGATGATTACCACACGAAGGGTTGCACAACATTTGGTTTGAGAACCTGACAATCATATGCGTAGATTTTATTGCAAATACACCGTGATCCCATAGGTTGTTTTGTAGATATATATATAATCTTAGGATTAGCCGGTTACATAAGATATATAGGAGTGGTAAGTATAAAACTGTGGCTGTGACCTGTGAAGCTGAAGCCTGATCTGTTCCTTCCCCTGTGTCCTGTCTGTCCGTCTCTGGGTTTTTGGGATCCCCTCCTCGCCTCTTCTTCCTCCTCTTCTTCACAGACACAGGAGCTGTCCACGCCGGCCTCCTCTTGTTCTCACCACATAAATCCAGCCCAATTCCGCACCGATCTCTGCCCAGCACGCGCCTCCAAGGTAGGGTTTCTCTTCCCCCTCACTTCTGCTCCGCCTCCGCGCGGAATTCAGACGCAGATTTCCATGTCCCCGATGCTAAAGGAGCCATTTTTATCCGCGTGCCCGTGCTAGGACCTCGCCTCTCTTGCCAGCCGGTTCGGGGATGGACGCACGGATTTAGCTGATCCAGCCGCTGGTCGCGCTCGATCTCGCGGCGCCCCGCCCCGGCCCCCCGGCTCCGCGAGATGATCTGAGCCCCGCGATCTGGAGCAGAAATGGAGCCGCCGCCGTCGGATCTGAACACCCACCTGCCGCCGCGGAAGCGGCTGCTCGCCGGGCTCAGGACGGCGGTGGCCACCGCCGGCGACGCCGCCGCCGAGCCGCTCCCGTCCCCGCCCGCCTCCGCGGGCGATCTCGCCGCCCGACTCCGCGAGATGGCGCTCGCCGCCAACGCGTCGGCGTCCTCGCCCGAGGAGATGATCGAGGCGGCCAGGGCGGCCGCGCAGGCCGCCGCGGACGCCGCCGTGGCCGCGCGCGCCGTGGCCGCGGAGAAGGCCGCCGTCGCCGCCAAGGCTAGGGCCGCCGCGCGGGCTGCCATGGAGTTCCTCGATTCCTTCTCTTCCAGGGGAGCCGGCGCGTCCAGGAACGGCGGCCTCCAGTTCAAGGTCAAGTCCAGGAAGAAGCATGTGCAGGTCAAGATGCTGTACAGGCCCAATGGAACCCTAGGGCCAGGGGAGGCTCCCAAGCCTAGGAGGCGCAAGCAGTCGGATGAAGAGGTCGCGCGCAATTTACACCGTGTCATGAATAGCTCGCCGAGGATCTCTCACACTGGACCGCCCAAGAGGCCTCGCACCATCACTGCTGGTGATGCCAAAGATGGAGTTGTTGCCCCTGGTGGAGGTAACGGCGAGGGTGGCGCTGATGCTTGTAATGGTTCTTCAATTCATGTGCCAATCGAGGCTGGCAGTGGGTTGGCTAATGGATGCTCTGAGGGGAAATCTAGTGAGAGAACTGTTCCATTGCTCAATCATGAGGGTCCTGTTGTTGACGGTGAAAACTCATCCAGACACGCGCAAAGAGTAGCGGCGACATTGCTGAGAATGGAGTTTGGGTTGGAAACTTAAGTGCCGGTCAGAAAGTAAAGATCAAGAGAAAGGAGCTGCTTCTGAATCAAAATAGTGGTAGTAAAGAAACAGAAGAAACAGAAGAATCAGAACAGCCCAGAGAAACAGAACCCTTTGTACATTCTATTGCGCTTGATGAATCAAAGTCAAACTCAAATGGAAAAGGAAGATCAAAGCCAAATGGGAATGGAGCAGAAAAGCTTGCCCGCCCTGCAGATACAAAGGTCCCAGGTGACGGCGTGACACCGATGAAGATAACATCCGTATGGAAGTTCAAGAAGCTAAAGACATCTCACTGTTCTTCCGACAGCAAGGTGTTGCACAAGGTTTGCCCGCCGCCTCCTGCGGCGGCTGAAACCTCTGCTTCGGTGAAAGCTGATTAGCGAGGCACCATAGCGTATAGTTCGGCAGATGCTTGTCTTAGCTATGCTTGTTGTGAGATTTTTGTATGTTGAAGTGGCTATTCAGACGAGGGAGGGAGAGGAGGTAAATCTCTCTTGGTAGATCTCACCTTTGCTTTGATTTTTATACAAATGTGCTTGTTTTATGATATATAGATTATTGGGTATTTCTACTGTATTGTTTCCATCCGTGCTTCCATTTGATGTCACTAGTGATAGGGAGTGTGGCATAATCATGTAGATGCACCTGTTATGCATACATCGTATTAATAAATGGCACCGTGTAAACCAATGCTCTGAGATACTAATTTTTACCTGTGTTTCTTGCCTTGGAGTAAATGATGTCCTTTACGCTATCATGATGCAAATCTGTGTTAAATAGTGAGGGGATTATGAAAACAGGTAAGAAGCCCTATTTGCTTGTAACTACTATTGGAGGTAATTGCTCTTTTATGTCTGAGCTAGAAGAAATTGTTATATAAGGAATGTAACTAATAAGACCGAACATGACTGATGTGTGAGCCTCTGTTTTCGCTGCTTCTGAGTAGATCCTAATTCCAACATATGCCTTGGAGTAAATGATGTCCTTTACGCTATCATGGTGCAAATCTGTGTTAAATAGTGAGGGGATTATGACAACAGGTAAGAAGCCCTATTTGCTTGTAACTACTATTGGAGGTAATTGCTCTTTTATGTCTGAGCTAGAAGAAATTGTTATATAAGGAATGTAATTAATAAGACCGAACATGACTGATGTGTGAGCCTCTGTTTTCGCTGCTTCTGAGTAGATCCTAATTCCAACATATGATGTTAGCATGCTTCCGATTTGGTTAAACTCTTGCCCTCTTTTGTCTAATGATAATTCCATGTAAAGGTAGTTGTACTATTGACCACTTTTCTAGTTTTGGCCATTAGTTCACCAAATTTACGCCCTGTGATGGGCAAACATCCAGATACTTTGTATGGTGTTACTTTCCAGATCCTTTTTAATATGAGAACTCACCATGCATGGGTGGTTGAGCATGGAAGGCCATTGGCATTGCAAGATGTCAAAATTCTATTCCTTTTCACATGGGTGCCTGCATGTTTGTATGACCCCGCGAGATGACATTTATGGGTAGCATGAGAAGTGGTCAAGTGTTTTGATCTCGGTGGACACCAAGCATAACCTTCCATTACTGTCTATGTTGCTGCCAGCACAAGATTACTGCTGAAGAAGACATCATGCTTTGCGTTGTAGCAGCGTTAGAGAATGTTGCAGTAGCTAGTACCAGTATACTCTGATGAGTGTGCTATAGTACGTATACATAATACATGTGGATGCACCTGGGCATCATTGGCTTGTGATATCCTGGGTGGTGGTGGTGACAGGAAATTATGGAGCATCATGGGTACTGTTGCTGGTATGGCAAGTGGAGTAGTGGTGGTGGCCACTGGTGCAGCTAGATTTTTCTCAGCTGGTTGTGCAATAGTGCATCAAGTGGACAGGCATAGGAGCAGACGTTGCACAGATGATGCATACTCCTAAAAAAATGGCATTCTAGTGTTGTCCACAAAATGGCAAATTATCTTATGTTTGACCAAGTATTAGGCTATTGGATTGATTGGATTGCTGGCTGTGGCTGGGTTCGCTTACAGCTAGAGCATGAACTGCCAGTGGCTGGGTTCTATGCTTCTGTTAGGCTGAGTGAGTGAGTGAGTGAGTGAGTGAGTGAGTGACTGGCCGGCTTGTCGAATCCGAGTTTCAGCCATGGCAGCAGTTGCTGCCACCGCTCTCAGGCGTGGCCGGTTGAGTTGAGCCGCTCGTAGTCGTAGGTTGTTGGGTTTGAAAGGAAGGCAGAGGAGGCCTTGCTCGTGCTACTCTGATCATCCTGCAGCAAAGCAAAGCAGCAAGTGGCATTATGATTGAGGTGAGGTGAGTGCTCAGCTGATTCATTTCAGAATTCCAGATCCCATCTGGTTCTGGTGGTTTAGTCAGTCACTCTAACCATTTTGCTTGCACTGCCTTTGTAAATTGTTGTTGTTGGTATCTATGGGTGAGAGGTGATGAAATTTCATGCCAGGCTGGCAGCTTATATTATTATTAGGTAGTGCTTGGCATTATTTTTTTCTCTGTCCACACAAACAAGGTCCATTCAGGCGGGTGATGTAATGCTGCACCAAAAACACCCCCTCCGTCCCTTCTAATTGGTTGCCTTGCCTCCTCTACAGAAAAGAAAAGAAAGAAAGAAAATAAAAGAAAAGAAATGCAGAAAGAGCTGTATGTCTGTCGGTGCTCCGATCCAAATCCAAATCTCCTTGGTTCATGATCACATATTTTAAACGAGTTTCATTAAATCAACCATGAAATAAGTCTTTGTAGCGAATTAGTTTGGTATTGTATGTGTTTATATTTTTTTATTTATAGCTCCATAAATCTGATCGAACTTATATAATTCTAACTTAGAACGACACTAAAACAACATATATTTTGGAATGAACTTTTTAATTTTCTAAACAAGCTAGCTGCATTAGTCTGAGTACTACCCATGAACAAGCACAAGCCAGTGAAGTGGAGTCGAGCAGCGATAAGACGTGGGATGCTGGAGCATAATATATGACCGACCTATATTGCACTAACTTTTATATATATCAAATTAAAGAAAAAACATAAATTTAGTACGTACGTTCTAGGATTGTCACATGAATTGAACCAACCACTAGCTACTTGCTTCGTCATATCAAGGTAATAAAAAAAACACTACTGGATGTGTTTAAGCCAATGCAAGCTAGTGACGTTCTTCATGGATGGGTTGACAAATGTTCTTGGGTTGTAAGTTGCCCAGTTGTCTACTTTCTAACATGTACTCGTGTCCGACGACGATGTACTACTACATGTCTACATTGAAACGCGAGATGCATCATCGTATAGTATGACCAAAAAAAAAAAGAGAGAAGAGAACGTCACAATCGTGTGCTGTTCTTGTGGACAAACGCCTTGGATCGGTACGTACCTACTACTCGTACGTACGTATACGTAGGTACACCGCGACATGTTCATATCTGCTTTTCTTTTCTTTTTCTTTTCGACGAACGACTTGCGAAATGGTGGTTGTTGCGTGCACATCTTCGTCCTGCGGCTGCCTCTATACAAAACACCCACACTGCATTGCACGGCCGTTCCTTTTGTGCTCCAGGCTTTGCTGCTATAATAATATAAATAATAATGTTACGTGTGTGTGTGTGTGTGTATATATATATATATATATATATATATATATATATATATATATATATATATATATATATATATATATATATATATATATATATAGGGAGAGGCTATTCAGTAGCCGGCTACAAAATAAGTTATTCTGTAGCCACCTTTATTTACGATAATTTTATATACTAATTTACGATAATGTCAATACATATTTACGATAGTTGGGTTACTATAACACATGTAGATATTTACCATAACGTTATAGTAAACTACTTAGTAAGGAGTTACTATAATATCGTAAATTAACATAGTAATTATCGTAACTCAAAGTGGCTACAGAATAAGTTATTTTATAGCCAGCTTCAGGATAGAATATATATATATTATATATATATATATATATATATATATATATATATATATATATATATATATATATATATATACCATTTGGCTGGAGGAATTCCGGATGAAATTGGATGAAAACACTGTTTTGGATGAAATGATGTGAGAGAAAAAACACTGTTCTGAATAAAAAAAAGAAGCCGAACAAGCTGATTTCAAGGACAGCCCAACGGGGTCATATATATCACGTGGCCTGCAGCAAACAACAACTCTGCTGTACAGTTGGTCACACGGGAATTCATGCAACACATGGTAAGGTGGTGTGGTGGCACTTGTGAGCTCTATTGGCTACCGTGGAAGATATATAGGCTTTGAAAAATAATAGAGTAATTAAGATGAAAACGAGTATATAAACTGAACCAAAAAATCGTCATAAATGTATGCTATTCAGAGAATGCCACCAAAGAGCCCGTTCGGCTGGCTGGATGCCAGCGGGCTGGCTGGTTTCCTGAGTCACGAAATCACTGTTCACATCCTGCCAGAACAGTATTTTTTTCTCACAACAATCAGCCGGAACAGTATTTTTCAGTCCTGCCGAACAGGCCCAAAGTGTGTCCTGAAAACCACATGGATGGTGTTTGTCACCTCATCCCATGCTATCTTTTGTCGCCAGGAAATACTTGCGGCCCGTTCGGCGGGGGCTGGCCAGTCAACCACCTCACATGGGTACTATTCACATGAACCAGCCAGCAGTACTTCTCTCTCACATAAACGAACCAGCAACGATACGAGCCAGCCAACCGAATAGGCAGATGGTTCTTTGTGGAATTCAAATTACTCTACATGCAATGGTAGCTTAATAACCGTTGTAAATTTGTGTGTGGTGATTAGGTGGAGCTCTCCCTCCCTCCTCCCCACCTGCACCACTACTACTGCAGTTCAATTGTCCCCAACCACCCCCAAGAGTAACCTTTCTACACTTACCTCTGTCGTTAAATCCTAACCCCCCGGATCATCATCATCATCACTGCTAACTAGTGCGGGTAGTTTTACAGAAAGGCCCCTGAGGGAGAGGGGTTTCCAGCGAAGGCCAACACATCTCCGGACGGGCACAAGACAAACCATCGGAGTCGGAGGCACCGCACCGCACGCCGACCCACCCGCGCGCAGCATCAGCACCAGCACACACTCCCCCGCCCCCGATCTCGCCGGGCCGGTGCCTCTCGCCCGCCCGCCCCCGCCCTCCGCCCGGGGGGCGATGGAGGCGGCCTTCGACGCCTACTTCCGCGCCGCGGATCTGGACCGCGACGGCCGGATCAGCGGCCAGGAGGCCGTCGCCTTCTTCAAGGGCTCCGGCCTGCCCCAGCCCGTCCTCGCACAGGTGACACTCAGATCTCCCTTCTCCCCCCCTCCCCTCCCCTCCCCAGCGCGCGCGGCTCCTGCCCCGGCGATCTGCGCAGCCCAGCCACCCCGTGTGGTTCGAACCGCGGGGTGCCTGGTCGGTGCAGGCTAGTTGCTCGGCCGGAATTACGAGCTCCCGTCGGCTACGGCAGCCGAGATTTGGAGCCTGCGCTGCTCATTGTGGTTTATGGGTGGATGTCGCTGTGTTCTAGTCCTTTCCACCACCTACTTTCCATTTGACTGGCATGGGCCTAATATGCTCCTGGGATCCAATCTGAGCGGACTACAAGATTACTTTAGTGAATCGCTGTTCCAAAACCTGTGGACCTTTCCCCTCATTTACATTAAATATTTAGCACATTTCGTGTGTTAGTTGGAGGAAATGGTCACCAGCCCGTTCTTTGGACCTCAGCACTCAGCAGAGCAGAACTGCACATTTCACTTCTGCTATCCAAATCTACTCTGCAATCAATCACGATTTATTTTTTGCAGAATGCAACCTATTGGAATGCTGTTATTACTATTAGTAATTCAAACACTATTGAACTGCAGACTTCAATTCTATTTAATTGCACTCATAGCTTTGTATTTTTCTCTTCTCTTGTTCAGATTTGGACTTATGCTGATAGAAACCGGTCTGGTTTTCTTGGGCGCGAAGACTTCTTCAATTCACTCAAACTCGTCACAGTAGCTCAGAGCGGCCGAGAATTGACACCTGATATTGTTAAATCAGCATTATTTGGACCAGCTGCTGCGAAAATCCCTGCTCCTCGGATAAATGTTTCTACAGCTGCTCCTCAGACAAATAGTGTAGCTAGCCTCCCGAATGCCACTCAAGCACCACGTCCTGTTCAGCAGAGTCCTGCATCAGGTCCTGTTCAACAGAATAATCCTGCCATAAGAGGAACACAAGGGCTTCCTGGTGCATCGCCAAATCCACAAGTCAGGCCACCACAACCTCCAAATGCAAACACTGTGCTCCCTGCTCATGGTCAGGGAGTTGCTTCAAGGCCACCCATGGGAAGTGGTCCCACTGGGCTAAACCATACTAGTTCAACCACATCAAGTCTAGCAACTGATTGGTTCAGTGGTAAGAAAAGTGCAAGTCCGTTGGGTGCAACTTCACAAGCTCCAACCAGAGGTATTTCTCCGCAGGCCAACCTTAGCAGTGCAGGGATCTCAGCGCAGAATTCAACTCCTGTACCAGGCTACAATTCTCACACGCCAGGTGGTACAACACCTGTCAATGCAAATTCGACAAATTTGAACCTGATGTCTTCCCAACCATCAGTTAATGACTCCAAGGCGTTGGTGCCCTTGGGTAATGGATTGTCATCGAACTCAACTTTTGGTGCTGACCCTTTCTCTGCAACTTCACAACCGAAACAGGGTTCACCTTTGCCCCCCAATGTTCCAAATAATCTGCCAAGCTCGACACCTCCTGCCTCATCTGCTGGACATCATCACCCTCCTAAGCCAATGCAGGCTGGTCCTGTGCAGGGTATATCCTCCCTTTCTTCTCATACTAGCCAGTTGCCACACAGTCAGCCGGCTCCGAGGCAACAACAATTTAATGCTACACCAAGTGCTCCAGGACCAGTGAGTTCAAATATTCCCAGTGGACAAATTCCTTCAAACCCAAGCCAATCTCAGGCCCCATGGCCGAAAATCACTCAAGTAGATGTCAGAAAATATATGATTGTATTTATCAAGGTAGATAGGGATCGTGATGGGAAAATCACTGGTGAAGAGGCAAGGAATCTATTTTTAAGTTGGAGGCTGCCAAGAGGTACATCAAGTCTCTTTATATTTACTCTTCCTTTTCTAGATACCATAATTCATAGCCCTTGCGCGCTATATTTTTTGTCCTGTTGATGATTCTACAAATTAATGATTCTACAAATTACGTATCAGTAATTAAAGTATTGTTTAACCTGCAGACACATCAATACACTTGTGAAATAAGAATTGCTAGTTTTAGATGGTCGTTTATTGTTTGTAGTTTCCCCCATACCATTGTTCTTTTGCTGCGAAACGTGTATTTTAGATGATTTATTAGACGCATCCTTAGTTTTTGTGGATGCCAAATTCATTTCGAACTGGTTGCATGTTACTACTTGTGTCAATACATGTATACATTGTTGCTCAGTTATTTTTCTCTTTCCTAGCATCACATTGAGTTGACATATTGTTTCTCATATTGTTGGGTCCATGTTTTATATTTGCTGGGAATTATATTTTTGGGAACCAAGTGTCTCAGAGCATTACCACAATGCTATGATATTCCTTATTTCAATTTACAACTTCTTGTCTTATCAATGACAAAGTTGCCTGAAGTGTTACGTATTTACTATCTTGTTCCTGTACATGAATTATTTCTGTTTCAAATTTCCTCTGAAATCGAGTTCCTATTCTTCTCATCTCTTGCTTCAAAAGTTCCTAAAAAAAATCTGCCTCTCCACCTACAGATATCTTAAGGAAGGTGTGGGATTTGTCCGACCAGGATAAGGATGGGATGCTATCTTTCAAGGAATTTTGTATTGCTGTGTACTTAATGGAGAGACACCGAGAGCATCGTCCTCTTCCTGACACAGTAACGGATGCTATTTGGGCTGAGGGCACCGCACTACCCTCTACTGGCCAGTTTGCCGAAAATCTTAGTGCCCCTGCTCCTCAAGCAAGTGCAGGTATTCATCCAAAAGAAACTTCTCTGTTATTTTTTTATTACTGACTTCTAAGGAAGTAACTTGTCAATGATGTTGTTTTTACTGAACACTTGTTGAAGGATACGCAAGTAGAACAATGCAAGGACCACATCATGGGATGCTTCCCTCATCAATGAAGCCACCATCTCGAAGGCCTGTTCCTTTAGATGCTGATGATACTGTTAAGGCAGAGCAACAAAAGCCAAAGGTTCCTGTCTTGGAGGAACATCTAGTTGGCCAGCTGAGCAAGGAGGAACAAGATAATCTGGATGCAAAGTTTAAGGAAGCTTCAGACGCTGATAAGAAAGTATATTCCTCTCTTGTATTGTTTCAACTTTCAAGAGCCTTAATGTCTTAAGATTCGTAGAGCAGACGGAAATAGTACATATATTGGACATTTGATTACTGTCTTCACTTTGACCTAACTCCATTTTGCCCCAAACATGCAGCTTGAGATCAAAGTTCGGGCATATAGTTGTAAATGGTCCAAATATATTTGAAGCAATTTTGCTCAACTGGTCTAGTGTTGTTTCTATTCATAGTTGACAAAAAATATATGGCTAAACTAATACATAAGAAGCTATCATTTTTGTTGTACCAGTATGGCAGCAAATCTTTCAAAATGCTCATGTGTCACACGATTGTATTTCTTGAATTTCCCATTTGCATAAAATGTTTAAAAATGCGAAAACTAGAACACGATAAAATTCTTTAGTACACAAACTAATGTTCAGAACATTGTTTACATATTCCAATCCATATTTCAAATGTCAAATTGAAATGGTAGCGGTGTTTGATCTCTATAGATTGTGTTGATGAGCGGAACTCAAGGTTGTGAGCGACTTCATACAATTTTACTCATATGTTATTATAACATGATATTCTGAATCTTCTATGAAGGTCCAAGAGTTGGAGAAGGAGATCCTTGATTCTAGAGAGAAGACTGAGTTTTATCGCACGAAGATGCAGGAGCTTGTAAGTATTCTCTGGCAACATGTCTTACTATAAATGCAAACATGTATTTGATTCAGTCTTTACTGTGCTAGTTTCAGTTTCCTTTATAGCATTTCCATTCAACCTCTGCTGTCATGTTTCATTTGTTACCCAGCCCTAGCTGCCTAACCATTTTGTACTAACTTACATATGCAACCCCCCCCCCCCCCCCCCAAAAAAAAAAAAATTGCGCCGATTTAGTTGGAGTCTACAGATGAAACCCAACGAGAGGCATATACAAAGATGATTTAACATATATATAAAGTGCTGGGCTATAGTGCATAGTTTAACATGAGCTAATGAGCTATATTTGTGTCCTAATTTAATGTATTCATGCCTGACTTATTTTCGTTATATTGTCCTAGATTCTCTACAAAAGTAGGTGTGAGAATAGGTTTAATGAAGTCTCAGAAAGTATGTCTGCTGATAAACGTGAGGTAATTTTCCTTCTGTAACCTTTGATTAGTTGAGCTCTCTGATTCTATTTCCTACCTTTTTTGAGTAATTATCGTTTGTAGAAGATCCTGGTGGTTTCTGAAGTGCTGGCAGAAGCAGAAAAGATTGATGAAAATAATCTCTAGTATCTCATACCATTTTTACTTTGTTTGTACAAGCTTCCTGTTGTTACATGCTCCTGGAATAAGTTCAAGTCTTTAGATCTCATGAGACCATCTTTAGTGGAATCATATCATATATTACTTTAGTAGAAGCTAGAAGAAGACTTTTGGGCATTATAATTTGTGTTACAATTTGACTAATGTCCTATGAAGTCCCTTGTGTGATGGCATGTAAGAGTGGCCACTCTTTGTTCTAATGCTGTTTTATATGAATCTCACAGCTATCAATTCTATATTCAGGTCCAATCCCTTTCTGCAAAATATGATGAGAGATGCAAGAAGGTTGGAGATGTGGCATCAAAGCTAACAATGGATGAGGCTACTTTCCGTGAGATCCAGGTATATTTGTGATTCTATTAGAATGCTGTCAACTTCATCCTCGAGATCTGGCTGTGAGCATATTATTATTATTATTTTGTATGTTTGCAGGAGAAGAAGTTGGAAATTTATAACGCCATAGTTAAGCTGCAAAAAGGGGATGAAAGTGATGAGAAGCTTCAGGTTTGTATTTTTTTGTTCATCCAATATGTTTCAATGCATCATGCTTTACATCTATTGTCTGATCTCCTTTGCCCTCTGTTTATAGGAGCGGGCTAATAAGATACAGTCAGATCTTGAGGAGCTTGTGAAATCTTTGAATGAGCAATGCAAGAGATATGGGTTGAGAGCTAAGCCAACTACTTTAGTGGAGCTTCCTTTTGGTACTTGTTACTACCCTCTTTGTTTCTTAGCTTTTATCCAACATTTGCTTGTTTTGGTTGCGTTTCTTGTTTAAATGGATACTGTACACTGATTCACTGTCCGTCAGCTATGAGCTAATGAAATACTAAAATCAATCTTAAATTATGTTTACTTGCATCATAATATCTATGTTCATGAAAACAATCTTAACTAGCTCTTGCTAATTTTCTTTGTATCAGATAGTCCATGCACTGTTCATTGCAACATCTAATTTGTTTCAGGGCTTCATCTATCCCAATTCCCAGTTGCTTAATGAGATCCTGCTCTTTGCCTCTATTTTTCGTTTTTAGGTTGGCAACCTGGAATTCAAGAGACAGCTTATGCATGGGATGAAGAATGGGATAGATTTGGAGATGAAGGTATGCTAACTTCAATCTTGATTCTACCACCATGTTCATTATTCAATGCGTGTTTATGTTGACCATTTACATATTAAACTATATATGCTGCTCGCTTGCATTTATCCAGGATTCTCTTTAATAAAAGAACTAACAGTTGAAGTGGAGCCTCCCATTGCACCAAAGAGTCAGCCTACTGAAGATGTTAAAGCATCTATAAATGGGGCATCAACAGAAAAAGAAGACAACAAGGGTGACAAATCTGCTGCTGCTCTGCGGAGCAGGCAGTGGAACCTGAAACAACACCATCGAATATCAAACCAGAGTCAGCAAAAAGCCCTCCAGTTAGTCCTGTCAAGAATAAAGAGGATGGTTCTGATGAACGTGATAAAAAGCAATCTGGAACAAATGACGTCTCACCACGTGCCACTGAGAGTATCAGGTATAGATTCTGCTTTTCTTTTATATGATAGATAGATACACGTGTCTTGCTAGAGAAAAGAAACATTGTTTGTGAATAATATTTAGTTTCAATTCAACCGTAACCTCTTGCAGCTAATCTTCTTTGTCAATTCTTTTGGTGACAAAATATTACACGTCGAGGCATGACCTTGCATGTAGCTTAAATTATATAGGCCATTGGCTTCTCCTATATGCCAAGCTTCTGACAGCGCAATATATTGTTAGTCTCTATTGTATAGGACATTTGGTTCCTGAACGTTTTATGTGAAACATGCTTCTTGCATGCTGGAAATATAGCATAACTTTTTTTGTTGGAAGGGAAGCTTGAAGGACACCTATTGTGTCGAATTATTGACCCCTCTCAGTTTGACAGTATTTATTAGTATTTTGCTTTTATTAAGCTATCTTCCTAATTGCACTGGTGAATTTTGTAGCAACCGTGGAGCAATGGATTCCCCTACTCATGGAGATAAAACCCATGATGGACACTCATGGGGCCCATCTTTTGATCATGCCATGGATAATGACTCTCTATGGAACTTTGGTCATAAGGTTGGACTCTGTTCATTCTTTCTTGCGTTGTGTCATACTGTTATGTTGTATTCATACTCTACTATCTAGCACTTACCTCTGTGATTTGTTTCTCAGGATGGTGAGAATGGTGATTCAGATCTCTTCTTTGGGCCACAAGGTCTTCCCCCGATAAGAACCGGAGGTTCCTCATCTGGTAGTTCATTTGTCAAGGAACAGAAGCCGTTCTTTGATTCTGTTCCTGGTACTCCAATGGAGAAACCTTTCTTTGATTCCATCCCAGGCACGCCAGTTCAGAAATCCGTCTTTGATTCCATCCCAGGCACACCAGTTCAGAAATCCGTCTTTGATTACTCTGTCCCTAGCACGCCGATGCAGAACTCAAGCTTTGATTATTCTGTCCCAAGCACGCCAATGCAGAAGTCACTCTTTGATTCCATTCCTGGTACACCGGTTCAGAGATCAGTATTTGATTCTGTTCCGAGTACGCCAATGCAGAGATCGGTTTTTGATTCTGTTCCGAGCACACCGACACAGAAGCCATTCTTTGACTCTTTTCCAAGCACTCCAATGCAGAGATCACTGTTTGATTCTGTGCCAAGCAGAGCAGAATCTCCTACTGCCAGCAGCATGTATGGCAAAGAGCAAAAGGGATTCTTTGATTCTTCAGTCCCGAGTACCCCAATGTACAACTCAAGCTTCACGCCAAGGTACAGCGAAGCAGGAGATGATTCATTCGACACCATGTCTCAATACAGCTCATTTGGCATGCACGAGAACAATTCCTTTGGACAGCGCGACAGCTTCTCGAGATTCGATTCCTTCACGAGCAATGCTGACAACGGTGGCAATGACACCTTTGCGAGGTTCGATTCCTTCCGCAGCACTTCAGATCAGGGTGGGGGCAACAGCTTCATGAGGTACGATTCCATGAACAGCAGCAGCGACCATGACAGAGGTGACCCGTTTGCGAGGTTTGATTCGATGAAGAGCAGTGACTACAACAGCCGGGCTACTCATTCGACGACGAGGACCCCTTTGGAACTGGGCCGTTTAAATCGACAGAGACCACGAGCAGCAGCCCGACAAAACATGGGACGGACACATGGAGCGCGTTTTGACAGGAGGCAGGTATTGTATCATAGAAGAGGTCATGCACTTGTGCACCTTACTGCAGATATATACACACGTACAGGGGCAAGACATTTTTTTTTTTTTGCATCGGCCTCTGCTCCTCCACACCTGGGGACTGGAAGGGGAAGGGAAGGGAAGGGACAGGACGGGTCTTTGCTTGTGTGTTTGCTTTGTGTTAATTTTGTACCTAGGCTGGGAACATGTGTTTGGTGGGATGCTGCTGCTGCTTATAAACATTCTTTATACCTTGTATTGTACATGTACAAGATGCGAGTCAACCCATTGGGTTGAGAAACTCTCGAGTGTTTTTGCTTCTATGTTGTAGCGTTTTTCAGGTTCTCCAAAATTTTCTGGGCAATGTACAGACAGACAATGTGGCTGAGAAGTCGGGACCTGCTTATGGGTTACTACTTACTGCAATACATTGTGAGGTAATTAAGTCGGTTCAGCGAGAGATTGTGTTTTATTATGCTCCCTCCATCCTGAAATCTAATGAATTATGGGTTCCAAATTTGTACCAAAATACTCGCTCTTTCTTGAAATATAAGGAATCAAAGTGATGTTTAGACAAAATAAGGAGTTTAACAAAATACCGCATTACCCTCATTAATTTGTAGGAGTAAAGAGTTCGGCTATTGCTTTTCTAGTTTAAAAGAAATCTTTGCATAAATGGCGTGGGTGGCTAGCGTCCGGACGCTAGCCCCCGTCCGGACTATGTCATGCTCCTGCCCGCCCACATCTTGCCACTGCGCCCGCCTACAAGCATGTGGGGCCCGCATCACGTCAGTGGGGACTACCTTCGCCTTCCTGTGCCTGATACCGAGGCGAGACAGAAGAAAGGCGAGGAGTGAGATGCAACACTCGATCTAGTTTTAAAACATCCAGATGCAACAATTGCAACATACGTCTGAAAATAAATGAAACATTTGAAACATGCATCTGAGACATTTGCAAAAAACACTTGAAACCATTGTCAACATACGCAACATCCAGATAAAACACTTGCATCATATGTGTGAAAACGTATGCAGCATCCAGATAAACACACTTGCAACATACGTCAGAAAAAACAGATGAAACATTGAGAACGGGAGCTTTCAACATACATGCACAATCATTGCAACATGTGCAATATTTCGATCTATTTTTGCAACATCCGTACCAAACACATGCAACATACCACTGAAACATTTGAAACAGACGCTTGCAACATACCCCAAACATCTCCTTGCTGTTTGGGAGAATGGAGGCTCGTTGGCAAGTGGGGTTCGCCAGAGATAGCTGCCCGGTGGTGCTCGTAGGCAGCGGCTCAGCGGTGGCCACGCGACAGGGCAGGGAGGCAGCGGGCCTCGCGCCACAACTGGCAGGGCTGGCGACTGCGCCTCCTGCGACTCGCAGGCAGCCGCGCGCCAAAACCAGTTGAGGGTAGCCACACGCCGCATATGATAGGGCTAGGCAGCTGGCAGTCGAGCGCCGCATGTGGGAGAGAAGCGGAGCGGAGCGAGGCGTGCGGGAGTTGATTTTATTTTTTATAGGCGAGCGGTGCATGCGGCAGTGCCGGAGGCCAGACGTCTTAATGGTAGCATTCTTTCAGGCCCCTTTAGAACGTGAGATCTTTTTCCCGTTTCTATGTTTTTTTTTGAAAAATAAACCGATTCATGTGAAACTCCTATACAATTCTTGTGATGCATTCCAAAGGGCCTTTAAAATCTGGTAAAAAGATTACAAATTGAGATGAAGATTTGACATTCTTCACCACAGCATTGGGAAGTGAGGATGCTAACCTTGTAGTACTTGGATTGGAATATAATTCCCAAGTCTTGAAAAATGTGGGACACTACTATTTTGCATTTGGAATGATATTTTCGGTGTAATGTTAGTCTGTTACGGTGTCTAGTTATATTTTATAGAATAATTTAATCTCCGTTGCACATTATAACTTTTTCCTGCATCAGGCACCAGGACTTGTATGCAACCCCAAATGTATAAGAGAGAATTCTGTTTTTGGCGCTGAAACAAACCACTCTTCCGTTTTTGGAACAGAAAATTTTGAACCTCCTTATCTGACACGGACTTGAATATTCCTTTCCTAAATCGCACTAGCGTCCATTTCAGGCATCCATCCGTTAGTTGAGTACGAAGACCATGTCAACTTTTCATTAGAAGTACCAAAATGCCCCTGTTTATTCCGGTCGCTCGCAGGTCCTCTTGTCTCGTGCGCGTCCATCTCCCCTTCTCCCCCGCGACGCCAAGTCGCTCTTCTCTTCTGAACCCCCCACCCTAGACAGTGGAGGCCGGAGGAGATGAGGATGGGGCGGAGGAACTCACGGGGCGGGTCCTTCAACTCGAGGCACCCCTCAGTCAGGTGAGCTCGCTCCGTGGTCGCAGATCGAGGCGCGGGTCCGGCGGGGAACGCGGCGGCGGGGCGGGCTCGGCCAATGGCCAGCCCCCCCCCAGCTTCATGGGCTTGGTCCCGGCGGGGGAACGCGGCGGCGAGGCGGGCTCGCTGGCCAGTGCTGGCCCAGCTAGCGGCGCGGGGAGGCAGCCTCGCCCGCCTGCGTTGGTGGCAGCTCGCAGTGGGGCGGCCTCGTCTACCGGCGCTGGTTGCAGGCCGCGGCGTGGCAGACGCGGCGGGGCGAGCTCGCTTGCCGGAGATCCGGCCAGACCATGCGGCGGACGGGGCGGGGTGGCCTCCCCAAGCGGCGGTGTCGCGCCACCGCTTGTCGGCCATGGACAAGCCGCCGCCGCTGCCGTGGCGAACCGTGTTCGCATCTGCGGGGTTCGTGCCGGTGCTGAATGTTGAGCTAGTCGGCTTAGGCCACTCGACCTAGCCGACTTCTACCCCCAAGTAGTCGGCTAAGGCAATCCCCCTCTCTGGCCGGCTGAGGACATCGCCAGGCCCCGCAAAAGTAGTCGGCTAAGCCGACTCATGTCTGGAGACCGACTAGAAAACTTCCCAAAGTCGGTTTTTTGTATTTTTCGACTTGAGAAACTTGAAGATTATGATCTAGAGTTATTTCCTACTGGGATAAGACCACACCCTCTATAAATATGAGAGGATCATGACCGATTAAGTTTTCATCTATCCAATCGTCAAAAAAACGCAACAAAACTACCCTTTACCCTATTCTTCCAAATCTACTGCTGTTCGTTGCGTCTCCCGGTGAGATTCAGCGGCATCCTAGGCGGCCTTACTGGCCCTAGGAGACCCTCCACGTGCCTCTTCCCAATGGGTCTTCCCAGGAGTGATTCGGGAGATTATCCGGCTGAGAACGAGCTCTACTTCGGTCCTAGCGATCTCTAGATGGGATGTGATCGATTACGCGGCGTTCTTGCTGTTGTGCAGGTTGTGTGCAAACTCATGTGAAGCACTTATGATGAATTTTGTTTGTGCTAGTGACAATTGGCAATAATGTAGCAGCAAATCCTATGAAAAGTTAAGCCAAGCCATGGCGGGCTATTTAAAACCGTAGTTTTCTTCTAGTCGTGATGCTTCACATATTTGTCGGGGGAACCTTCGATTAGTTGGTACCTTCCGCTATTATAAAATTACTAGCAGCTTGTCAAAAGGCATTTGGTGCGGTTTGATGAATTGATGTTATAAGAGGAAATTCCAAGTGAGAAATATAAAAAAGGAAAGCTAGGTTCATTGAATCAAGATGGCACATTTTGTAATGCTTTTGAAATTTAATAACATCTTCCTTTTAGGGCTGATTTAGATGCATTCGAATCTAATTCAACCCATACACGTTAGAGTGGATAGAGGTGAGCACTAGTTAATTTTCTACCATATTCACGTGGGTTGAGGTCCTCAGGGCTTGTTTGGCTGTACTTTTATCTATCTGAATCCGCATGTATTGGAGCGGATTGAGATTGGAGTCAGTAAACTAAATAAGCCTGCTGGCGATATAATCAGCAGGTCCTATATGGACATTCCACAGTTCAGAGAGCATCGACAGAAACTTTCTTCAGAAATCAACGTGCTCACGGCTTGCATTCACTGCTACTACTCTGATTAAACGCTCAAAGTAGCAGCAGGACAAAGCGACAGTTGCAGATCAACTCCGTACTGATCAATCACAGAAGTAAAACTAGCACTTCATCCAAGGATCAGCATCCAAAATGTTTGATTTGCCTCAAACCCAACAATAGCACACCCAGGGCATGAGGTTAATGCCCTCGGCACCAAAGGTTGCTACGAATGACCAAAACCTATTCTGCAGTGTTCAATACCAAAATGATCTTACAGGACACGGCACAACTTGTCAAAGCACACAGCATTGGCATGTTCGTTCACAAACTAGTTTCCCATTAGAAATTAATAACTTTGAACATGAGAGTTCAACAAAATCTACTTTCCTTATACAACCACATAGCATGCCAGGGATCGGAAGATCCCTGCACAACATCTGTAACAGCAACAAGCTTGCAGCATCTTACATTACGTTGCAAGCAGGAAACAGTAGTAGTACACATACACGGCCAATCTGTCTACCTCTTTTGCAGGCAACAAAAAATGGCAGGCACACTGGAACAAGGGCTGTGTGCCACTTGAGTCAGTCAAATTAGCTGCAGACAAATATGTATGCTGTGTAGCAGATGGAGATGGCCGGATGGCCCTTATTCCCAACGTACATAGCTTTTGCCAGAAAATCAAAGTTGAGACAGATAGGGGCCAAAAGCTCCATCATATTGTTTTTTCCAATTCCACGCTCAGTACTAGTAGTACTATAATAAATATAGCAACATGCATCTTTACACGCTCTGGTTTTGCACAAAACAGCGTCGCAACTCCTGGTTTTTCTTGCCTGCCCATGCCCACTGGTAAAGTGTTCTATTTTTTAGGAATAGCTGGACCTTCCTACCGCTCGGATGATCGTTTGGTTGGTTTAATTTCGTTCCTGATTTTGCAACAGCCGGCGTATGCATATGGATATGGATGATCAACATTAGAATCTGTGCCAGGAAAATGCAAGGATCATCGTCCTGTTCATTTGGGCTGGTTTGACTTATAAACCATGGCTGAAAGTACTGTTGGCTGGTTTGGTGTGAGAGAAAAATACTATTTGTGACTGATAAGCCATGGCTTATAAGCCAAATACGACCAAGCGAACAGGCTGACAATGACGGCATTGTCTTAGAGGCTTCGAGCTGATGTCCCAATGGACATCCTTTTGCGGGCTCAAGTTTTATTTATTTATTTGTTTTGTTTTGTTTTCTCCTTCGGCATCTCACACACTCTGTAATTCGTCTTTCTTTTGGTTTCATCAAACCACTTCACATGTTTGTCGGAATAACCTTTGGAAAACTAGTGCAAAAACGAATTTAGAGGACTACTTGTTTTATTATTAATAGAGACGGACAAAAAATCTCCCTGTTTTCTTAAATACTTTGCTATATTTACAAATGGTCGTTCTATTTACGGAGACACTACCGTCTCTAAAAATAAATTAATAGAGACGAGTCTTAAGGCGTCCGTCTATATTTTCAGAGGCGGACATGTTAGAAAGCATGTCTCAATGAATAGGCTTGAAGCTAGCTCATATGGTCCAATACATTAGACACATATATATACAAGCACTTATAGTTTCACTACTCAGACAGTCAGACTTCTCCTTTTCCACAACTGCCTGCTTCATCCCCCCTCTCTCTCTTCTTTCTCTAGCGAACGTCGAAGGGCGTGGCCGTGGTGCAGGCGAGGGCTCAGCCAAAGGTGCCCCAGACGGCGTGGGCTCAGACGAGAGCTGGACAAGATTGGGAACTCGCAAAGATGCCGCGCGTGCAATGCGTTCACATATATAGGACGTGCGATCAAGTCTTTGGAGGTAGTGCCGGAGTCCATATTAGATCGTCTTCCTTTTGGTTTCTTCAGGACGACATGTTTGTCGGAAGCACCTCTAGAAAACTAGTTGGTACCCTCTGTTCTTACAAAATTACTAGCAGCTTGTGAAAAAATATTTCCAGTTGTTTGATGAATTGATGTTATCAATCAAGAAACCTCATTTGAACATGATATACTTATAGCTAGGTTGGTCCTTTTAAAAAAATTGAGGACAGCAGGTTCTTTGAAATCAAGTGGGCACATTCGTTTATTGGTAATGACCCTGAAATTTATTAACATACTACTTTTATGGAAGGAAAAAAAAAAATTCAATTATTGGTGTCTAGTGTCCAGGCAGAGTAACGTCACACCAACGTGAGCGATGGGTTAGCAAAAGATCACGTCATACTGGGTAAATTCATTTCATTTCAAAGACCTCATCTTCCAAGTCTTGGTTTAATAGTGCTTTATTTTGCTAATATATATAGATAGGTACGTGGTCAGTGCATCAACAACCCTGAACATTAGCCATCATCGGTTGCTAGCGACACACCACATCACAAGCAAAAATAGCAAATAAACAACGACAGAGGAGAGTAAAACCTTGAGAGCAACAATAATGGCGGAGTTTGCTCTTGGGTTGACCAAGACGGCGGTGGAGGGGACTCTGAGCTTGGTCAAGTCGGCTGTAGAGGAGGAGAAGAAGCTGAGGGAGAAGGTACAGAACGACCTGGTGTTCATCACCGGCGAGTTTGAGGTGATGCAGTCCTTTCTCCACGACGCCAACAGGGAGCGCGCAGCGAACGATAAGGTGGCGCTGACCTTGGTGAGGCAGCTCCGCACCCTGGCCTTCGACGTCGAGTACGTCGTCAACCTTGACCTTGACAAGTCCTCGTTCTGGGGGTCGCTGCGTCGTGCATGGCACACAGTGTACTGCCTAGCGCCACCACTGCCCCTGGAAGTCGCAGTGGCCGAGATCAAGCAGCTCAAGGCCAGGGTGGAGGACGTGACCCAGAGAAACACACGCTACAACCTCATCCTCCACGGCTCCGACAAGAACAAGCAGCAGCAGCAGCCCGTCACAGTTATGCCGCTGCCGGCAGAGGAGCCGCCGTATGCCACCACCACCACCTACAACCCATCGTCGGCGGCGTTCCACGTCCTACGTGATGCGTGGGAGGCTACTGGAAAGTGGCGCAGCAACGTGTGTAACCTCAAACAAGAGCTGTTGATCGCCCCTGAAGGTGAAGATGACCATGACCTTCAAGTTATCTCCGTTTGGGGAAGCAGTACCAATACAGGAGGAGGTGGTGCTGATCTTGGGACGGTCTCCATCTTTAGGAAGGCCTATCATGACCCAGAAATCTGTAAAAATTTCAATGTCCGTGCCTGGGTGAAGCTGACACATCCCTTCAACCACGATGAGTTTGTCAAGAGTTTGCTGGCTCAATTCTCTGTGAGCTCCTCCGCTCACCAAGCAAACACA